AATAAATATGTATTCATATTATTACACAAATCATAATAATAATTTTTTTGTTCTTAACTTTGTAAAAAAAAAGGGAGTCCCGGCCCAATTTAAGTTGTAGTAATGAGATTATGGCTTCATAGCTATTTGAGAACCACTGTTTTAGAATAGTGTTAAACAAAAATTTTAGTCTTTACCGTAAATATTGTTATAAAATCTATGATAAAGAGAAAATGAAAATGCTGGCAAAGCAGTTTCTGTAAATATTAAAGACGATCAAATTAATTGGTTCATAAAAGGCATTTCGTCCTACACAACGTAGTACTCGTAATATACTTTTACAGTTTGACTGCTGTTGGATTCTATTAATGGTTCTTTGTTTTTATTTGCTACATAGCGTTCAAATGAAATTTAATTACTTGACAGGCTTGAATCATCCACATATTTTTTTTTTCTGATTACACGATTTTCTTATATAATTAAAAATGGCTATTAACTCTGTATTACTTCAGGAGTACTGGTTTTAAAAATTGTAAAATAAAGAACAAGAGTAAAAAATATTCAAATTCGAAAAATTATGGCTGAAAGTAATATACTAGCATATACGTTGCTGGTCATGAGCATGAATAATATATATATATATATATATATATTATAATAAACAAGACAAAGAATTGTAAGTAAAATATAATCGCATATATCACTTTAAAATCTATTAAATTACATGTTTTCATATTTTTATACACATGTCTTCATGATTTAACACAATTAAACCGTTAGAGATTTCATCAAAAATATTATTTGATTAAAAATCACAGTTAAAACTCCTTGAACAAATGAATTAAGACGCATAGATATATTACAATCTATTTTTATTTCGTGCATCAACTATAGTATATTTTTGAACTACGTTTTATTTACAGTTTTCAAAATATAACATTAAATAAACAAATGTTAAGAAGTTAAAGAGTGATTGTAAATTATGAAACTCCATACATGTATTTGTATGTTTTCTATTTGTAGTGTATAATAATACAGTTATAATTTATCGTAATACATTTACTGGATAAAGATGAATATTTTCACCTAAATACTTGGAAAATATCGTGAAAATTCAATGAGAACCTTTGGTAAAAATAAAATTGTTAGTAAAAAAATGCTTTGTTATTAGAAAATAATTAGGTTAAACTTTATTACACTATCGTCATTACATGCATCCTAAATCAAGGGTTGGTAACCAGCAAACCACATAACAATTTTTTATAGTGCACTCAAATATATTTATGTGTATTTCAGTAATATTTTTCATATAAAATTCAATATAATTAAATTTTTTTGACTTAATATATAAAATAAAATTTAATCGTTTATACTTTTATAACATAAACATAATGTATTATAAAGCATAGACGATTAGATATTATAAGATATTAATTCATAATATTAATTTTCATTCCCAATGAATTAAAGTACAGACATGTGATAAAGTTTAACTTTTAATTTATATTCGAGGGAATGATAATAATTTTAATGTTTACGAAGAACTAACTGATCTTTATGTCCTAAAAAGAACTACCACCAGTATTGGGATTATCTAGATAAAAATGTTTGTTATATTTATCTTATCTAGATAATAAAAAATGAACCGTTGAAAATTATTGAAAAAATTATCCAAGATAACAAAATCAATCATTTAGATGATTAGATAAATTATTCGTGGTCGTAAAAATATTTTTCAGTTTTCCAAAAAGTGTCCATACTAGTGCCAGACAGTAGACATATTTGTTCGTTATTATTACATTTGTTTTATACAGTAACCACTAATTGGTATAATTCGTGGTATATAATATAATATTATCAAAAATAGTGTTTATTTCAGTACCTATTCTCATTAATCATTGATGTGTTTACTTATTCAGAAGAATAGCTTACCTATCGATAGTTGGCGATTGTTGTAAATATTTTTTCTAATAAAATATGGAAATAATTAAATAACACGATATTATGAAATATGGTCAGTGTTGAGACTTATCTAGATAAATTATCTAGATAGATTTTTTGTCATCTTTTATCTTATCTAGATAAATAACGCTAAGTTATCTAATTACTTATCTAAGATAAAATTTTTACTTATCTAGATAATTTTTTCTAAATAAATGTCTGTATTCTTATCAAGATTAGATTTATTTTTATTTTTGTACGGAGACGAATTCAATAAATCATAGATCATCAAAATCGGTCCAGCCGTTTTTGAATTATAAATTCTATAAATAACCTGACTTTCTTTTATACATATAGATTTTGTATTCATAATCATAATTCGTGCATTGTTAATAAGTAATTATTATTCCTTGGTATGACATTTTTTTGTAATTTTCATGTCGGGAAAATATTTTTAGTATTTTTAAACTTACTTTCTTATTTTTCCATGGAAGTTCCAAACATAGTAGGTACCTATTTAATTTTAGTATACACATGTAACTCATACGCTAAATAGTCATTATTTCACTCATGGACCTCGTAAAGTCGTAACTATTTATAGAATAATGAAAATCATCAAATTAATATTATATGGAAAAAAATATTGTTGACTTAAAATAATTTTTTATGTATTCTGTATTCATCCTTTATCTAGATGAATTTGGACATATTATCTTTTATTTTTATCTAGATAAATTTTGCATTATCTATTCCCAACACTGAATATGGTACTGATATAATACCCCCTGGCCACTGCACTACTAAAATTTAAAGTACTATCTGCAGTCCCAAGGTCAATACCACTCAATTCGATGAATTGTTCGATTAAAGACTATTTATATTACAATATACATGGCGGAGCAATAATACAATCGGATAAATATAATAAATATTTTAGTCCCCAAAATTTAATAAGTATATACAGTGGTGTAAACTGAGTGGTGTAAATGTGGCACTTGCAACACCTCATCTAAGCACATCTAGCACCACCAGAAAGTTATTGAAATTTGTATACCTATAGTATTATTTTCAAGAGCCAAGGAAATCAGCGTACTAAAAACAAAATTTGATTGTTTTTTTTTTTTAATTAATATTATAATAATAAAGGTTTTACTGCTAAAATAATTCAAAATTTATTTGTTATTTAAAGAAATCTATGGGAAAATATATAGGTAGTTTATTAGGAAGAATTTTACTTAGGAAATTGGAAAATTGGTGTGTTGAAAATTATAAGCTCTGCACTAACAGAAATTGAATCCAATTTACGTCACTGAGTATATAGCAACGTGTGTACACCTTATCGACCTATCTATGGAAATTAACTGTGACTTTGTCTTACAATAGATTTTGGCATTTTGTTAATACTAAGTGCACGTCTATATAATATAATTGATGTTCACAAATTTAATGAGGCGGTGTTAATGCTTAAATATTTAAGTTAGTAAAATATGTTTCAAAATGTAATAAATAATTGTTATTGTAATGATTATTATGATAATTGTTATTATTAAATGGCGCAATAGTGCTAGCTGCTAAGTTATAGCTTTTCTGCACCAAGAACCAACATTGCTTCATTTTTCAAATTGTATTGAATGTTAATATGGATAAGTTTCTCATAAAATATGATGCAAGTACTCGTAAATGTCATATTGTAACCAATTAGGACTAGAAATCGTAGTACTCCCTTCTCATCTCTTATTTCTTTTTTTACTGGATGTGTATTATTTGGAGAATGCAAAGAAGATATCGCATATCCATATCAAAACAGTAACAACTCAAAAAGTTGGTGTTTTTAGTTAAACGTATATTCGGATTCTACAAACGAAATTACATAAATCAACAAAACAGGTTTATCTTTAATATTCTCCGTCAGATGGCAATGTAAGTACATTTTATTGAATGAATGATACTATGGAACCACCAATAAAACCGGCATTCCTGAAAAAAAGCGTTTTTTTGAGTTGTTACTGCTTTTAAATAGGTGTGCGATATCATGTACACTGGTTAATTATCCAACCATTTGAAATGTTCTATGTTATTATTACTAGTAAAATAATTTATTTATTTATAATTTCAGTAAAATAATTGTTAAGTATAAGTACCTAGTATCAATAGTCTGTGGTTATTATGTTCACTATTTATTGTATTATTGTTCAATTTGTTGAATTATAATAATTTGTGCCAATTAATTGATTATTACAGTTACCTACTCAATCTGCAATACTTCTACTGTAGTCTGTTGTAACTATGTCGATTTTTAAAATATCACTACCATATTGCTAATTGATAATGGTAGTAAATATATAATTTATCTCGAATTTATCTAGATAAAAAGTTAACTTTATTATCTTTATTTAAATAAAAGTATAATTAAATTATCTTTATCTTCACCTAGATAAAATATTTTTAGTTCGTCTTTATCTTTATCTAGATAAAATTTTAGTTATCTGGGCTCAACACTGACTACCACAAAAGAAGATTTGTTCGTAAATATAGATAAATAACTAAACAATTTAGTACTGGAGTGAAAAAAACTAATAAGTATAGCAATTTATAGTGGAAAAAACATGAGTGATACAGCTAAGGATGTGGATGGAAGAGTTAAGAAAAAAATGTTGACCAACGATTATGAAAATACCAATGAATTTTCACTGTATAATTCAACAAGAAGCATTGTGTTGTAAAGTTATAGTGTGGAAAAAATGTATGAGTTATGTAATTTCCTCTATATATTTTATTTGAGATAATAGTTTAGGTCATCGTTAATTTCAACAATTTTTGAATGAAATTTAATTGGAATATGGGGACGTTATATATTTAATACAAATCAGATGGTTAAGTAAATTTGCACTCAAATGAACTAAACTGTACTAATCATTCAATGCCTAGGCAAGAACAATTAAAAATAAAGGAAATTCTACATCGTCATCCATATCCGAATCCTCCCCACTTAATTCTTTAGGCATCTCTTTATTATTTATTATCAATATTTATGAACATGACACTTTTTTACATACATGTATTATATCTTTTATTGTTGAATTGGTCGTAGATGTAATTTTTCGTATTATTTTTTTATAAATATTAACTATTTTCTATGCTTATTATTTTTGGTTAGAGTATTATTCCACCTTTGATTGTTTAACAAAGCATTAAACTGTTTTGGACCACCAACTTTTGGTCTATTGCTGTTCGTTGTTGGTCGATGTGGAAGCCTAGCTTCATTAATTACATTCCTACAGTAATTTTCGTATATTTCTTTGCCTTTAGTTTGATCCGTATCACCGCATAACCATAATTTTGTACTGTAAATAACGGAACGTAATATTGACAGCATCCGTGATATGAACTTAAAGTTATCGGCAGGTTTTATGGGTCCACTCTGGAAAGCAAAACTCCTATAACTTCTGATGCTTTTTTTAATGTTGATAAAGCCTTTTTCCATTGAAGTATAATATGCCGTTTGACTAGTAAACAAGCAATTGATTCTTTCTTTCTTTATCAAATACGTGGTTACATCTACGGGATACAATAAGTTAGTTCCGATATGTCTCAACAATCTAAGGACAGAAAAAACAAGTATTATGATTTTTTACAGACATTTCTGTAAATAACCTTCTAAATTTTAAAATGCTATTACAATTTTGAATCACTTATCATCATATTAATACACCAAACGAACTATAAACGATTCAAGTATACATTTAACCAATGGTATTATTACTGTTGTTATTAAAATATGTGTTCATAAGTTTCAGTAAAACCATTGATTAAATATACCTAAATAGCCCACGCAACGTTATAAAGTGTTAATGAAAAATCGAGGTAATGGGAACCTGATTTCAGAGAGCGCTATAGTAGTTTTCAACACTGTCACAACCCCACAACAGCAACCATTATTGCAGTGCTGGTAGTTCATACTGGTATGTGTGGTTTTGCGTAACAACTAACAAATTATGATAAGCGATAAAATTTAATTTAGCTGACAACTATTTACTGTTTATACTCTCTGCTGATCAATGTTCATCTGTTAATTTTTCGATTTTTATTTGACATTTATATATTTTTACAGTTTTTGTTGTGTCGTTGTTTCGCGAAATTGTATAGCTCTATGTTAGATTATTAATTTCTCGATTTATTCATAACTACTTTTTACTGGTGTCGATATTCCGATTGATATTATGTCTCATGGTTGCGAAGAATAATTTTAAAAAAAACTGGGAACTTGCTTTGCTGTACAGTAGGGGTCGAGTGGATCTCGTCATTGCAGAGTAGGTCAGAAACGTGGCTTAGTTTGAAAATCGAATATTTAAAAAGAAAACTAATATCATTTAAAATCAATACATTCATGACACCGTTCAGAATCTAAAATGAACCTATTTATCTTCCAAAATATAGAGCAAAAAGATTTTGAAAATAGCATTATTTCGGTTGAAAAACATTTTAGGACATTTTTGACTATTATTTAAGACATTTTTGATCGATTCTAGGTCGTTTAAATTCTTCTTTAGAGTACCAACTCAAGAACATTACTTTTCAGAAAAGATGCTACGCTTGATACTTTTGAGCAAGTTTAGAGGGAGAAAAAGTGTTTACAGAATAAAAAATAAAAATAAACATCATTGTAAAACTATTACATTCCTCGCTCCGCTCAGAATCTAAAATCAGATTTACGAATTTCATCTGTTATTTCAATAATTGTTCAATCTGGATGTAATAATTTGTATTTCGTATATTTTGTTAAGTTGATTGGGTACCGGCCAATTTTTCCGTTAAAAACTACCTATTTAACTTCAATCTGTCCGACCAATGTATTGAAGCGATATGAGTTCTGAAAATGTATATGAATTCAGCATGAAGTCTACTTTGAGATCGGTCGAATTACATTTTTTAATTTTGCCCTTAAAATTCCACAAATTTGATCCAAGTTTTTTGAATTGAAAAATATTAATAAGTAATAACATTCGTTGCAATCTAAATATAATATTATTTACAAAACTTTTGTTTCCTTACCGCAGTTTATTTCTATCCAAATACTTAAACTGATTATTGAGTCTGTGTTTGTCATAAACATGATCCCCCATCTTCGTCACAACCTATATTTTATGATTTTAATTATTTCTCAGATATTAACATCGATAATGTCATCTATTGAGAGTTCGCGCTATTATGAGCAATTAAGGCTATTAAATTATTTGTATAGCAGTGGACTATCTATGTATATTTAATCAATGGTACAATAGTGCAAGTAAAATTTAAATACAATTACTTTTCTTTGAACGATGGATATCGAGCATTTACTGTATCTACCATATCGTTCGTCCAACTATTACTCTTTTTTTACTGTTCCAGGTTGATCAACAGCAGGATATTGCTCTTGTCTCCCATTTTCAATAAATCTTTTGGTGTAATAAATGATTTCAACAGTGGCGACGGTATGTGATTGAATATCTTATAAATGTTTAAAGATAAAATAATAACTGCGAAATATTTGGTAATCCTTAACACTTACTTTAGATGGAAGCAAACTGTTATAGATGTCCGAGATCCAGCGAAGATACTTGCAATAAGCTCTCTAACCTTCGTCCAATCTAGACCGTCAAACCCACAACCGATTTTGGAATCCCCAACTTGGTTGAATTCATCGCTTTCATTCTTACCAATAGAGGACTTAGGACCTTAGGACTTCTGATAACGTTTGAGTTGTTGGTTTTCCGCCACTAGTTTTCTTCGTTATCATGTAAAAAGTGATCTCATTACGGTCGTTAACAATCATACCAATCAAAGCAATCAAAATTAGTACTAATTTGATCAAAAGCATATGTATGACATTTATACTTAAATTCCACGGCGATTCCAACTCTCATCCGCAAGTCCTCGGCAACATAATGAGCGACAGAAATATCTCCAGGCAAGCTGAAAAGATTTTCATCGATTTTTTTCAAATAACTTGAAAATATTTAAAAATAATTTTTAATTTATTGAAGATAATTTTATTGATGGTATTATTGTACATATGAAACATTGTGTACTCTCCAGGAAAGAAACGAACCCAGGCGGTGAGAGCAAACCATTTTGAAGAATAACATTATGCACATTCGCTTTAACTTTTATAGTCTAAATGAATTACATTTCTAATAGTGTACAGATAATTATAATTATCAAAAATATTTCTTAAATTATAATATAGTACTTAGTCTGAAATATAATCTGTTATTGCTGTTTTTTATCCCTAAAACTATAAATAAGTAATTAACATTAATAATCATATATACCAAATTCTATCATTTAAAGTTCATTTTTGATTATATCAACAACTTTCGATTTAATTGCTTTGCACTTATTTGCATAACTTATGTTTTTTATTTTTATCGTCAATCTTCTGTACATTTTCATTCGAAAATTGGTTCCTATTATATTTCAAAATTGTATTACGACTTGTTAAACGTTTAATTAACAACATTATTTATAATTTCATAAATATTCTTAACGCCAAGTATAAATATCACAAAGTGTCTTATACATTTACAACATAGCTAACTATTGTTCAAAAGAGTAAAATTTGGTTTATAAAATCCTAACTATTTTGTAAATATGTAAACTGAAGAACAGAACTTTTAAACTTATTTTAAAAGGATAAAAAAAAACACTCATATCCTAGGAGTGTATTAAATTATTTTCTTTTTTTTCGTATACCTAAACAAATTAAATTATAATTAATAATAATAATTAATAAAAATAAAATTATATAAACAATGGATACATATACCATAGCAATTACGTATTTTAGGAAATAATAAAACCAAAAAGTATTTACGAAAAACAAATGATAAATTATTAAAATTAAATTTCCACTTACCGTGATTGCATTGTATATAATTAAATTATATTATCATACATAAATATAAATTTTAATTAATTGTCAAAACAATTACCAAATACGTACCTATGTTCAGGTGTCCCGGTGCAAGTTTCCTGTTTTTTATTAGTTGATTTTTTAACTTCATCTTCAGTTTTTATAATTTCCGATGGTATTTTAACTTGGCTTCTAGCCTGAGTTCTAAACAATAAAAATGTTTAAAATTATTACATTTTAAAAATTATTGAATGCATCTTATTTTTCTCTAGTAGTGTATTTTATATTATTTATAATTACTTTCGACGAGGATTAGATAAAAATTTAAAACCCATTGCTTAATTCATAAATTAAAAAAAGATAATACACAAGTCATGAATTAATTTAATAATTTTAAAATACTTCTGAATAAGTTGCTTTGACTTTGCGGATGCTTTAGGTACATCATGTTCTTCAATTTTTAACCTAACGTAGATTGATCTTGTTTGTTTAGTAAAATATTATTATTCATCTTCTTTTTTCCTTTCAATTCAGACTGATTTATTTTATTAACATTAGCTCTAAATAATAATAATAAAGGAATTATTAATTTAGTATAAAATTATTTATATAAAATTAAATTATTCAATAACTGATAAGAAGCAACGAATTTTTTACATTTATTTATTAATAAAAATATTTAAAATTAATATTCTAGTGATTATTTTTACTCTTTCAATCAAATGTAAGAATCTAATATTTCACCTAATAGTTTTTCTGGTATTTAAGAATATTGCACTTAATTTAAAATGAAGTACCTTAAGGTTATATCGAAAGAAAAATATTAATAGTACTTCTAAAGTGAAGAATTAATTAATACTTTTACATTTTTTGTTGAGTTTCGTTCTTTTTTTTCTAAAGACGCACTCCTAAAATGGAAATTATTTCTAAGTTAAACATTGCTGAATTTAAAAATTATAATATGTGCATTATAATTATGTAAACATCATATAATATTTATTGATTAAAGTCAAATTTTAGGGTTTAAGTACTTTAAATTTACTTTAACTTTCAAAATCTGACATAATCGATTTTGGCGATAAAGTTGGTTTAATTTTTTTTAATTGATTAAGGAGGCTTACATATGTATTTTGAGATTTATTTGTTAATAAGGCGTAAACAGCAGGTGTCAACAAATGAGCTGTCAATACATATATTGCATAAATTTGAGCAAAACGTATAGGAGAGCTCTTAAATGTACCGTCGACAAACCAATAATTAATTTTTTTTTTTTTTTTAATTTAATTTAACCCTCGGCAATTATTACATTTTATCATTAACTCTAAATTTTCTTTAGTAGAAAATATTAAAATACGATCATCTGATGAGCCACTATCGTACTGCAGGAACTGTCTTCCATCTTTGGTTAAAGTATACTTTTCAGGTATTTCGAGATTAAAAAGTGGCTGAGGATACGGCCACAACATTTTGGCGCCCCCAAAGAACTTGCACCCAGGGCAGTTGTAGCCAATTAATTCTTCACCTTAGAAGTACCATTAATATTTTCTTTCGATATAACCTTAGGTTACTTCATTTTAAATTAAGTGCAATATTCTTAAATACCAGAAAAACTAATAGGTGAAATATTAGATTCTTACACTTGATTGAAAGAGTAAAAATAATCACTAGAATATTAATTTTAAATATTTTTATTATATTGAATTTTAAATATCTTACAAACTCAAAAATAGAAATAGAAATGAAGTAATGCCTACAATTTGAGAAAAAAAGATGAATGAACTTTGAAGAATAACTCAACTCAAGTCAAAATTGAAGGCAAAATATTACTTAAAGATGGGTACAGACAAATTATAATTTAAATAGAAACATATCATATAAACATTTATAGTTAATAATACATTTCACTGAAATAATAATCTAAAATATACATTTAATTCAATTTTAAGAATTTATTATATATTAATTTATTAAATTATATAATTATATAATTTATTAAATTATTAATATATGAAAATTGTTTAGAAAAAATTAAAAGGATCACTTCATCTTATAGTACTAATGACAATATTATTTATTTGAAAGGTATCACATATAATTTGAGCTTATGAATGTAAGGATTGTGACTTTTAATTAATACATATTTTTGTAACATTAAGACAAAACAACATATGTGAATAAAAATAATCTTAATTTTTTTTTAACAATTTTTTATTGTTTGTTTGCATCATTTTAACAAGGCTGGGTAAGTTAACGATTTTTTTTAACTCAATAAGTTAAGCTATTTTAAAATAATAAATTTAAGTTAAATTATAAGTTACTTATATTTTTTTCGCTAACTCGTTAAGTTAAAAGTTAACTGAAAAAAAAAGTAACTTAACTTAGTTTAAAGTTAAAATTTTATAATTTGCAAAAATAAAAAAATTGCATACATAATATTAGTTTTTTAACGTTCAAGAAAATTACTGGGGAAATTTAAAATGATACATAAAAGTATTAACTAGCTAATTAATAAATATTAATAACTTATAAATTAATAAAGAAATAATAAACATTCACAGAAATATAATAAGCTAATAAACTAATAAACTAATAACAATGTACTATAAAGTCTAACGAGATGTGAAGAGACCACATGCTAGTTGAATAATGAAATTAAATTGGAAATTATACCACAGTTGTTTTGTGATTAATCCCCCATCGATAGTCGCTTTCATGGTATTTACTATTTTCACAGAATATTCTTAGGATTTTCATGGGTTAATAGTGTTTAAACAATAACAATGTTATAAAAATATAATGATAAAATATAGCCCATATAATGACTATTAAAGTTATTTTTCATATTATTTTCGTCTACAGGAAGTTCGTATCAAAATAGTAAATTATAAATATACTAAAAACCTCATTTAATAATTTGCATTATTCTTTACACTAAAATTAACTTAATTTAGATACTTTTAAATAAAATTAACTTAAAATTAACACGTTAATCTTAAAAAAAGTAATTTAAAAGTTAATTTGTAAAAAAAGTAACGAGTTAATTAACTTAATTTTAACTTTTAACTCATTAATGCCCAACCTTGCATTTCAATTAACTTAAATAATTTTTTTTTTTAGTATTCAATCCGTAGATTGGTCTACAGTAAATGCCTTCTCTATGACTCTTTGTCTTGTGCTTTATCTTAGAGTTGTTTGTATGAATTGACTCCTGCACCTTTAATTACTTGACTTATAGAACATGTTCTTGGCCTTCCTCTTCCACATTTCCCTTCTACCATACCTTCCAGTTTGAGGCTATGGAGTTCTTCATTGTGTCTTAATGTATGACCTATCATATGCCATCGTCTTGATCTTAAATTATTTAGCAATGTTCTTTTTTCTTTGGCTAAATCTAATACTTCTTCGTTTGTTTTCAATTCCATCCATTTTATTTTCTCCATTTTACGCCAACACCACATTTCAAAAGCTCCTAGAGTGGTTTCATCTTTTTTATTCAAAGTCCATGTTTCACAACCATATAATGCTGTACTCCATACGTAAGTTTTAATTAAACATTTTCACGGTTTTAGATCTACATTTTTAGATGTTTGTAATTTACTCTTAAGAAGAAATGCCTTTTTTGCTTGACCTATTCTACTTTTTTTTCCTTTTTTACCTTCCCTCATTATATATTATGCTTCCCAAATATTTAAACTAATTTATTTGTTCTATTCTGTTTTTTTTTTTTTTGTTTTTTTGTAACTTAAATATAAAATAATAATATTATAATAAATATAATAGTTTAACTTTAATATAAAATAAATTATAAAATATA